TCCTGCTCTGCATACCCTCATCTCTGTCTTTAGTCACTTGTCCAAGCCAGAAGCCCGGGCATTAATTGTCCTTGACACCTCCCTCTCCCTGGGCTCTTACAGCCGTCAGTTGCCGTGCCCTGAGCATCCTGCTTCTAAGGCATCTTTGGAATCCGCACACATGGCTCCACATCTTCCGTCGTTTCTCACCATTGCTATCTCAACAGTCCAAAATGTAGAATTGGACTCGTGCACAGGTCTACAATCCCAGCTATTTGGAAGGCTGAGGCATAGCTATCATAAGTTCAAGGCTAGCCTGAGTACTTAGTGAGCTCTTGTCTGGAATACATTTTAAAAATTCATGGACCGGGTCTTGGTTCAGTTGGTAAATGTTTGTATAACAGGAACCCGAGTTTGAAGCCCAGATTTGGTGACACATGCCTGTGTTCCCAGCAACGGTTAGATCTGGAGGAGAGAACAGTGGATCTTGGAAGCTGACAGGCCAGCCAACCTGACCTACGTGGTGAAGTTCCTAGCCAATGAAAGATCCCATCTCAATCAAAAGGCCACCCAAGAACTGACACCTAAGGTTGTCCTCTGAGCCTCCATATACACACACCACACACCGTGCACAGGCACACCTTCCATCCCCCATGAACCATGAACATGCACACACATCTCACACTCATGCATAATAGTAAAAAAAAAAAAAAAAAAAAAGGACTGGGAATAGATGGAGCTCAGTGAAGGAGCCCTAGGCTTAATCTCCAGTATTGGGGATAGGGGAGGGAGCTTGACTACTTGTATTCTATGTTAGCTTAAGTTTTGCTTACATGATTTTAATGTACTGAGAGCAAAGGTATGCTTTCAGTATCTACCTAAGAGAGGACATGCCATTCCCCCAACCTGGCAATCAAAGCCCCACATCCCCCAAGCTGACCACTTCTGTCACCCACCCACCAGTGGCAGTCACGTCCTCCTTTGCTCTCTTCAAAGCTAGCCATTCCTGTGGATAAAGCATCAGACCGAAAAGGCCCTCTTTCGAGCGGCTCGGTGCCCATGTGCCACGCCCCGCCCCTCCCAAATCACATCTGCTATCTTATTCTAGGCCTCCAAGTCTTTCCGTGCTGCTGCTGGGTTATCCCAGTGCATCCCCTTCCTAACTCCAAGTCCTCAGCCTTTGGTAGAAGCACACCTTCACAACCATCCAGTCCACAGTGGCCTCATCTCTCCTGCGGTTAGAGTCCGATTGCCTTCCCTGGCAATGGTGTTTAATCATCCCTCAGCTCGAGATCTGTAGTTCAAGCTGTAGCTATCCTCGGCTGTATACACCTGCTGCCTCCCCATACAGACGACAAAGTCCTGGAGAAACAGAATCTGATTATACATTCCCCCTCCTAGGCTGTGTAAGTAGCTCAGGGCTAGTTAAGAACCTGCTCAGCTTTGAACTCTTTCTAGAGGATGCTGGGGATTAAGACTCCAAGCTCACAGCTGGCTCTGAGAAGTAAATGAGAAACTGTTTGTGGTTCAAAAGAGGAATATGCCACCCCAGAGAGCTCATATGTTTGAGCACTTGGTCCCCAGCTGGTGACTCTGCTCTGGGAGTCATAGATGTTAGGTCTCAAACTCAGGACAGCTGAGGTTAACATATCAAAGTGGACACTGGCTGCCAGGCTCTCCCAGCATCTCTCAGTACTTGTTACAGAGTCAACCTGGCTGGTATACCCTACCCCCTACCCTAATCCTCCCTTCCCAGCCTCTAATTCCTATAGAACCTCAACCATTTTGGACACATGGTCTCTTGTCCTCTCGGTGCTCTTGGTTTCTTAGTCTCTGGACTCCCAGGTACTCTCTTTGTTCCCTCTTTCTTCTCTTCCTCTCTCACCCCACTCCATGGTCCCGTTCAGTCTGGACCACTCCAGATGTCTCTGGTTGTTTTTTCCCTCATATACGCAATAAACCTTCTCCTCCACCGTACTTAGGAGCAGTCAAGTCCTCATTTTTTTTCATTCAATAGAATCTTTGATCATGGAGTCTAGACAAAGGGCAACAGGGGCGGGACTAGGGAGTTCCAGTCACCCTAGTTCTCACCCGAGGTCTCTTCCTGGTCCACGTGAGACACAGTACCACATTGCCTCCACCACCCTGCCTTCTGCGCCACGATAGGCTGGATCCCTCTCAAATCCTGAGTCAAAATGAACTCTTTCACCTTAATTTGCTTTTGGTCACAGTTAGAAAAGGGAACTAAGGGCTAAAGGCTGCAGTGGCGTTCACACAGTACCTGACGTGCGGGAAGCGTCCAGTGAACAGGAGTCCCAACTCCCCAGCATCTACTCCAGAGCTGTGAGCACACTAAGTCCTGGATAATTGCCTGCAGGTGAATGGCTAAGAACAAAGGACTCAATCAGAGAAACCCACACCGAGAGACACAAGAGAAGCCTGTCAGAGAAATCAAGTAGCTTCCTTGGCTAGCCCAGGCAAGACATTCTGCCTGAGGAGAGACTTGGGGTGGGGGATACAGGGGAAAGAGGGGGGGAATCACGTGACTTGGCAATGAGATCATGAAATATTGACTAATAGGAAATCAAGCTGGATTTAGGTGTTGCTGCTCTGGGCAGCTGATCTTTGTATGTTCAACTGAATTTGTCATCTGTCAAGATTCCCAGAAGACCATGGGAGGCACATGTTTCTTATAAAGGGAAAATAAATTCTTACAGAAACCAGGTCTCACTGGTGTAGACTTGGCTCTGGGCTCCTCAAGGAATGAGAATTAGGGGGCTGGGGAGATTGCTCAGTTGGTAAAGTGATTTCAAGGCAAGCATTAGGACCTGGGTTCGAACTCTAGCATGTGTGTATAACAAGCCTGCCTCCATACACACCCGTAATCCCAGTGTGGGAGACAGTGGATCTTTGAGGCTCACTATCCAGCACATTCTACTGAGATCCCATATTCAATAAGAGACCCTGCCTCAAATAAGGTGGGGAGCAATGGAGGAAGAGACTAACACACACTTCATGCAATGCATGGACATGCACATGCGTGTGCACACACATGTACACAGAATGAAAATACGTTGGTCTAAGGGCCTATGCACTGTCATTGGTACTTGTAGAAAGCTAGAGGCTGGGGAGATGGAAAAGCACACTTGCTGAACAAACAGGAAGACCTGAATTGAATCCCCAGCACTTATGTAAAAAACATGGCTCACATGCCTTCTTGGCAAATTCCAGGTTCAGTGAAAGCCTGAAGGTAGGTAGAAAAGATAGGTGGAGAATACCACTCATCTTTGGCCTCCACACCTCTGTATACACCTCACACAATGCACTCTTGCACACATATGCACACACACACATGCCTGCATCCATGCACACACACACATATGCACACACACACGCCTGCATCCATGCACACACACACATATGCACACACACACGCCTGCATCCATGCACACACACACGTATGCACACACACGCATGCATCCATGCACACACACACACGTATGCACATGTTAGGGTTGAGAGGAAAGGGTATCATTTTCAGATACTGTTTGGCCTCCACACCTCTGTATATACCTCACACATGCACACACACACATATATGCACACACATGCGTGCATCCATGCACACACACACACACACACGTATGCACATGTTAGGGTTGAGAGGAAAGGGTATCATTTTCAGATACTGTTTGGCTTCCCAGACTCATCTATTGGGTGTTTGGTATAAGGAGCTGGGTCAGCAGCTGGGGTGAAATTTCCAACTAAACATGGGGTTCATGGCAGTAGCTGAGTTCTCTGTGGAGGGAACGACCTGTGGGCAGCCTCTGTCAGTAGGGAGATTAGTCCCCTCCTCCCTGTTAACTGCAGGGAAGGGTGGAGGTGACAGAGATTTACCTGGCTTTCTTCTGACCCCTTCTTCACCCCTTCTCCCCTCTCCAACAACAACACCCTAACTGGCCTTTCTTTGGAAAAAAAAAAAAGGCAATTGTAATCAGGGCCCTCCTGGGCATACTGATACTCCACAAGTCTGTTTGGAGAGATTTACCCTCCATGACCACAAAATGCTAAATCTGGAAGGCAGGTCACCTAGAAGGCAGGTCACCTGGTTCTAGAATTCCTCATGTGAGTGTGGAACCTAAGGGATCTGCCAATAGAACTCCCTGGGTCTATTGATTTAGATAGAAAAAAAAAAAAACTGGGTGGTGGTGTGCACACCTTTTATCCCAGCACTCGGGAGGCAGAGGCAGGCGGACCTCTGTGAGTTCAAGGCCAGTTTGGTCTACAAAGCAAATTCCAGGACAGCCAGAGCTGTTACACAGAGAAACCCTGACTCAAAAAGCAAGCAAAAAAACCCTGAAATTTATCATTTCCTTCAGTTATTGTTTATGAATGAAAGCATCACATTCCAGTCTTGGTGACCGTGTGACTTTTTACCAAAAGAAATATTAATTTTTTAAGATTTGTGTGTGTGTGTACATTCACATTAGCGCAAGTGTGAATGCAGATACTTTCCAAGTACAGAAGAGCGCATCAGATCTCTGGGGCTGGAGCTACTGGTAGCTCTGAGCTGGGAATCAAACTCAGGTTCTATACAAGAGTACTATCAGTCTTACCTGCTAAGGCATCTCTCTCTCCAGCCCCCATAATTCTCTTTGTATCTCACTACGGTTACTGCAAATTTCCTAAATTATAATTTACTTCTCATTCCCCTCTTTCTTAGACAGGGTCTCAAGTAGCCCAGAGGCCTCCCATTTCCTTTGTAACCAGGGAAAGTCCTGAACTGGTCCCTCTGCAAGCGTGAGAAAGCCTGCACCACCCAACAAGCTTGCTTTGGATAGTGTTAGGGATCAAATCCAGAGGTCTATGGGTGCCAGGCAAGCTCTCTACTGTGAGCTACATCCTGGACCCTATTTTGGTTTCTTGCCCTTTAAATTTTCTTTAAGGAACCCATTCATAGGTGTTGAGCGTGAAAAGAACTGGCTGCTGTTAGGCAATCTCTGAGCATTTAGCAGCCAGATGGCTTCCTAAAATGACTCACCGCCCCAAGCCAGCTCTCCACTGTGCCTCCGAGAGAGAGAGGAGGGGACTCGGAAACCCCCTCACAATTGGCTTCAGGGGTCTCTGACGCAGAAGAATTTGAGGTGAGAGGTCCAGGCCCAAGGGAGGGACGGTTTCTGATGAGCTCATGGGGAGGGAATGTCTCCCTGAGCAGAGGTGGGAGCCTGGGACAGCTGCCAGGAGCAGGGTCAGGAAGCAGGACAGACAGAAAAAGGAATTCGGCCTGAGGATTAGCCCTCTTTAGGGGTCTCAAGGAATTGCTTTGAAGTTTCATCCCCAGGCAGGCTCCTCCTAGGGAAAAGACAAACAAAGGGCTTTTGTCTCCCCCCCCCCAGCCTAGCAGAGGACCCAGCCTTGCCTTAAGGTGAGGGTCTGACCACAGCTGAGCCCTGCCACAGCTCCCAACACCCACACACCGCAGAGCTGCCTACACCCTGCTTTCGAAAGTTTCAATGGAGTTTAAACGGTTTCTCAGAGGTTTCTTGTAGACTCCCAGACCTTGTTAAACATGTTTTAAAAAGGGGGATTTTAGAGATGATGCCTTGGGGATCTAAGGTGTTTTGCGTTGTTTTTACATTCTGAGAATTGAACCCAGGCAAGCGTTCGTGTTTCCTTCCACCTCGAGCTACACAGCCTAGCAGGATCTCGGTTTTAAGCAAAGCGTCCAGCTGATTTTGGTATGTAGTCATGTTTCGTAGCTAGGATAACATGGTGTGGTGATAGTTCATTTGTATTTTAGTAAATAAAGCTTGCCTGAAGATCAGAGAGTGAAACAACCCCACTGGTCAGCCTTACAGACCAGGCAGTGGTGGCACACACCTTTAATCCCAGTAGCCACTCTAGTTTGCCATGGAAACCAGGTGGTAGTGGTACACGCCCTTAATCCCAGCACTAGAGAGGATTATAAAACGGGAGGAGACAACTCTCAGCTCAGTCTCATTCTGAGGATTCCTGGAGGCAGGATCACCATTTTGGACTGAGGCAGAGTAAGGGCCAGTGGCTGGCTGCTTTGCTTTTCTGACCTTCAGGTCAAACGCTAGTATCAGTCTCTGGGTTTTTATTAATCGCACTACACATGGGTACCCTTAATCCTGGTGTTCAAAAGGCCTCTGAAACCAGGCCCAGTAGGGAACACAAACTGCAATAAGATACAATAAACAACAGATAACATGTTTCAAGATTATGTGTGTGTGCATGCGTGTGTGTATGTGTGTGTGTGAGTGTGTGGAAGAGATATAGAGAGTAGGCAGCGTTAAGGAGATGCCATGTAGCTGCCCAAGAAGCAAGAGGAAACAAACCACAAGCCTCGTGGAAAATATAAAATAATAGAAATGGATTAATTTAATGAGTAAGAGCTAGCTAGAAATAATGCCTAAGCTATTGGTCAAACAGTGTTGTAATTAGTATAGTTTCTGTGTGGTTTTATTTGGGTCTGGGTGGCCAGGAAATGAACGAACAGTCTCTGTTTACACCACCACTGCCCTGCCCAATAAGATTTGCAATTGGTATCTTTATAGCTGATTTTGCCTCACACCTGCTTGGTTTTTATTTTGCTGTACGAATCCTCTGAATCTCTCCCGTTCACGTTTCTTTCTCTGAGACATGGGCTTGTTGGTTCCACCAGCCACCTTTCTGAGCATCCCTTCCTCTCCTGAGCTTTGGCATGGAGTCAGCTATGCCCCTAAAGCTGAACATGCTGCGAGTGTTGCATTTCGCTTTGAGGTTTCCCTCTCATATTGTATAACTCACTCCCCCTCCAACAGTTTCCCTGGTCTTTGTCACCCCAGTTCACAACCAAGTCTCACTGGGCCCAGGCTCAGCACTGTGAGAGAGTTGGGGTGGACATTGCCAAGGCCTCCTTCCTTCCCTCTCGCATCCTCAGAATGCAACTTTCTGGAAGAGAAAGCCCAAGCAGGGGTCACTGTCCTTCAGGCTCCTCTCATGGAAAGGATGCTCTAGTACCACGCAGTGGGCCTGGCTCTGCTGTCTGGGACAGGGCATCTGATTTCCCATTGTGCAAGGGAAACTCAGCTGGCTACTGCTGCCTGCTTCAGATCAGACCTCAATCAAGCCTGACTCCCCAACTGAGGGCTCAGTCCTCACTGTTTATTAAACACTGAGACTATCATATCTGCATATCCCTGTGCCTTTGAGCCGAGTCTCCCCCCCCCCCCGCCGCCCACCTCATGTAGCCCAGGCAAGGCCCAGACTCATCATGTAGCCCATGATAACCCTAGACTTTTGGTTGCCCTGCTTTTACTTGCTAGGATTACAGGTGTGTGCCACCGTGCCCAGTTTATACAGTTCTAATGATCAAGTGTAGGACTTGGTGTTTGCTGGACAAGCATGCTGCAGAGTTACCACCCCTAACCTATGCAGCCTTTCTTCAGCCAACACTTAGAGAACAGGGTCATGAAAGAACAATCCTACTAAGCCATCTCATCCTAGGTATCTTGCTGGAGTCGAGCTTTAAAAGAAAATCAAAATCAAGAGCAATTCAAAGTTCTCAGGGATGTTTCCCTTGGCACTGAAAACAGTAATTATAAGAACCAAGAAAATGCAATAGGAGCCATGGTTCGTCTATCTGTTTGTTTCAACATCATATTTTTATTGCTTCTTTGGGAATTTTCCATCATACACCCCGAACACACTCACTTCCCAGCCATCTCATATCAGTACCCCAACCACCACTAAAAAAAGTCCAATTTATGGGAGGCGGGGAGGAGGCGAAAAATTTTTTTTCAATAAAAAATTATATTTAAAAAAAAGTCCAATTTATCTTATCCATATACCCACTGGAGCATGGCCAAACTCTCAGTGGCCTGTCCCTTAAACAGACCTGAGTTCTTCCCCTCCTGCACCCCCGCCAGAAGCCATCAGTTGTGGAGAGCTACTCTTCAGCATCCTTATCACGCTTTTTAAAGAGTTCTCTACCGTAGGTTCCTGTTTGGGCTGTTACTTTGGGGGTGTGTTAGGGTGGGGGTAGGATTGTCACAGAAGCCTTCTTTATCCCTCTTTCTCAACTGTGCATCTGCAATCATCAGTATCGCTGCAAGAGTTGCTTCCTTGTCCTTTACCGTCAGCAGGAGCATGGGTAGCGGATTCCACATGGTTTCTGGCAGCAGCACAGACCATGAACAGCCCTGTTTTAATGGTAATGTACCTGCCTTTCTAGACCAGGTCTAAGTCACGGGAGGTGGAACAGGGAAAGAAAGAGCCCTGTGTTTGACTCTTGTTGAGAATCAGTCGCTAACTTCGTGCGTGACCCTGGGTACCAATTATCTCTCCATCTCTCCCCATTAAAGGGAGATCCCCCTCCAAAGTGGATCTGGCAGCACGGACTTGTAAACCCAGCTCCTTGGGAGGTAGGGGTAGGAGGATCAAAAGTTCAAGACATGCCTGAGCTGCAGAGTGAGTTTAAGGTCAGTTTGAACAGCTAAGTGAGACTCTGTATCAAAATAAGAAAGACAATAAAAGGGTTGAGGCTGTAACTCAGTGGTAGGTCACTTGCCTGGCATGTGTGAGGAACTGGGTTCTATTCCCAGAAGCACCAAGAAGAATGGGTAACCCCTCCCCGCCCAGTTAGAGGGGCCTGGGATTCTCTCACTAGGTCAGTGTGGCCTCACATTCCACGGAACAGAAGCAGGATCCCATGTGAGCCCCCATTCTCAAGGGCTATGTGGTATTCTCATTTTTCTTCTTCCTACTATGGCCCAAACTTGAATTCCTCATCAAGGCTTTAAGAAGTCTCACGGGGTGAAGGGTCTCCATGGGCCCAGTGTTTGCATTCCATGGTGAGTCCCCAAGAATGATCCTCAGCACCGAAGGGGGGAAAAACTGAGAGAAAGTAGGGTCATTCTCTCTGCTTCCCAGAGAAAAACACTACAGTTGGCAGTTAAGCAGTGTGTGCAGAATCAGAGTCAGAGTGAGAAAGCAGCCCTGCCTTCAGCACAGTCCCGCCCTCTTCTTTGTTCTGGGCAGGACCCCTGAAAAGCTGGCACTGTAAGGAGCAAGGGGATCTCTCTGTGTGCCCAATCCGCCTGCTCAGGACTTCAGAAAACATACAGGCCCTCAGAGCAAGTCTTCCAGTGGGCTGCAGCAGCCCACGGGGTGTTCACCAATGAGATCTATACTCCACAGCTGGGCCAACTTCCACCCACCCCCCACTCCCCCGCCATCAAATCTTGCCAAAGTGAGGTTTACTGAAATCACAGGGGCTCACCTTGTAGATGAAGTCTGATAACCTCCCTCCCCCTCCATCATGGCACCCCAAGGCAACATTAGAACCTGATGATTTTTGCCAAGGAAAACAGCACTTAGCTTTCTGTCAAGGTCTTGGCCTCATGACTCCTAGCCCAGGACAGAACTGCAAACCTGGCAATATTCATCCTTACCACCCATGATGCTGTTCTGCCTGGCACACTTTCTCTCTTCAGTGACCCTGTCACCCTCCCTCTACCTATGCTGGGGAAGGCAGCCTGAAGGATGCTTTTTCCTAATGGAAGTCTTCATGCTTAAAAGAACACACACACACATTAAAGCCCAAATTTGCACATACGCCCGTTGCTTATTGGTTTTCAGATTAGATGCTATAAAATTAGATACTAGGGAAAAGATTTTAAAGTAAAAAAAAAATTTAAATAAATAAAGGATTGGGGATGTAGCTCAATTGGTAGAGAGCTTGCCTAACATGCAAAGTGGCCTGGGTTTGGTCCTCAGTTCTGCATACTCTAGGTACGGTAGCACATACCTTGTAATCTCAGCCTTTGGGAAGCAGAGTCTGGAGAATCAGATCAGAGGCAAAGCCTCAGCTACATAGCAAACTGAAGGCTAATCTGGGCCTCTCAGAGAATCATAAGGTATACTCATTTAAAAAAAATCTGAAACTCAATCGAGAGACGGGTGGGGGGAGGAAAAGGGAGAGGAAGAAAGGAGGAAGGGAAGGAGGAAAGGAGAGAGAGAGAGAGAGAGAGAGAGGAACAAACTTAAATTTGTATATTCCAGCTGTTCCCACCATGACTGACCTTCATGTACATCGTACCCAGTTCCTGTAAACATCTTGCAGAACACATGAGGAGACATAGCCCTAGAAATACTCCTGTTGATTTTTATTGTTGTTATGATTTTTAATGGGGGGGGGGTGATCCTCAAAGGCCAGAAGAGGGCATTAGGTCCTCTGGAGCTGCAGTTATGTGTGGTTGGAGCTGCCCAACACAGGTGCTGGGAGCTGAGTCTCAGTTCTCTTCAAGAGCAGTAAGAACTCACAGCCAGTGAGCCATCTCTCCAGGCCCAAATCTTGTGTTTGGTGCCGGAATGACAGTTTCTCTCTCCTTTCTCTTGTTTGTTTGAGACAGGCTCTTATACACCCTGGGATAACCTCGAACTCCCTATGCAAGCAATAAATAGCTTTGAAGTCCTGATCCTCCTGCCTCTACCTGTCAAGTACTGGGATTCCTTTCCACACCCTGTTTATGAGGTGCTGGGAATCAAACCCAAAGCTTCACGTATGCTAGGCAGGCACTCTGCCAACTGAGCCCATCTCTACCCCGCCCCCATTATATACTTTCTGGGTGCTGCCTGATTCCTTCACAGCTGTAGCTGTGAGCAGTGTTCGAAGGGGAAAATGGGGCCAGTGGCCGACATCATTGGATTGTTCTGGTGGTTTCCTTGGTGCTCCCTCCCTAACTCCACATACTCTTCCTCGTACCTCCATCCATAAACCTCCCCTCCCTGTTTCTGTTCCCTCCCTGTTTCTGCTCCTACATAGCCTCCTAAAAATCCGGGTTGAGCAGTGACCCTGGGTTCACTGCTGTCAAGAGTTTGACATCTTACTCTCAGACGGCAAGTTGTTTTGTTTATTTGTTGTTTGTTTGTTTGCTTGCTTGCTTGTTTATTCATTTATTTTTGAGACATGGTCTCTTTACACAGCCCGTGAATGTCCTGGAACTCACTACATAGACTGGGTTGGACTTGAACTCACAGATCTTTGCCTACCTCTACCAAAATGCTTTTTAACCTTTTGAGAGGTAGCTCCATGGTGACAATGGAGAAGAAATCGGAAATGAGAGAACTGAGGTACAATGGTTCATTGAGAGATTTGATTCAGACACTCCATGCTCCGCTACTTTGGTAGGGCAGAGCTGGGTGCAGATCCTAACAGTTATGACACAACGTTCTCAGTCATATAATGAGCTCCACAGTCATTTGGTCCCAAAACTCTGATTCCATGCTGGTCCAATAATTTTTTGTTTTGTTTTGTTTTGTTTTGAGATGGAGTTTCTCTGTAGCTTTTGAGCCTGTCCTGGAACTAGCTCTTGTAGACCAGGCTGGCCTCGAACTCACAGAGATCCGCCTGCCTCTGCCTCTCAAGGGCTGGGATTAAAGGTATGCGCCACCACCTCCTGGCAATTTTTTTTTTTTTACTTTTAAAAATACTTATGAAACACAGAGGCTCCAGGTCTAGCCCAGAGCTGGTACTGAACTGCTCTCAGGTGATCCCTGGAGGTTTAAGAAACCATGCTCCAGAGACTTAAGGGACAGGGACACACCTCTCTTCTTTCACACTTCCCAGGGCTAGGCAGAAGAGGACATTTGGCTTTGGAACCCTAATCCATTTACTGAGGTGTTGGTGAGATGCTTGGTGCAAATTGAGAGTCCTGGGGCTCACAGCAGGACAATAATTGAAGCAGAATTCAGGACAGAAGGGGAGATCATCAAACATCACTTGCAGAGGAGAAAATATGTTATTGAAAAACACACACATAATACATGTACACACATGTATACATATATATGCACACATGCACATTACATAAGCACACATTTTATCATGGGTTTAATGACATCCTGCCAATTTCTTCAGGCATTTGTCCTTCCCTACACCATATTTTTGTTCTGGATAAAAATCCTGACCTGATCCAAACTAAAGACCCGCTCCCCAGAATACAGTATTCATTTAACATGGGTCTGTGTATTCAGCTTCATACTAAAGTGTTTCTGGACATTGGGAAGACTGAGTTGAGCATCTCTGTCAGGCATCTTCTGAGATGGCCTAGTATGCTTTCTATTGCTATAATAAAACCCTGACTTAAAACAACTTTGGGAAGAAAGGGTTTCTTTGAGGAAAGTCAGAACAGGAACCTAGAGGCAGGCACTGAAGCAGAGACTGTAATGGTAAAAGTAAAATGCTGCAGATCCCTGAGCAGCGGCAGCAGGTCCCTAGAGCAGCCAGTCCCAGGCAGGGACAGTGCCATTCTCCTGAGTGGCAGCAGCAGGCCATGAGTCCAAGGCAGGGAGCGTGTGGTGGGTGAGAGACCTCAGTGGGGAAATCAGTCTCACAAGGAGAGACAGACAGATGGGCACACTGCACGTTTCCAAAGGTGGCTGGTCTTGGGCAGGGAGGCATGCAGTGGGTGAGAGACAGAGACAAGGATAGGTATGTCATGCAGAGTGAGGTTGGATATTTATTTAGTGGGTTATGGGGGGAGAGGAAAAGGGAAGAAGAGCAGAGGGAAAGAGAGAGAAATAGAGAGGAGGAAGGGGAGAAGTGGGGAGAGACAGAAGTTGCCTCTGTGAGAGAGGGACAGAAAAGGAAGGACTCAGGCTGAAAGCTGGAGATCAGCTTGCCTTGGCAGACAGGTGAGGGAGTGGGCATGGCTTGTCTCTTAAAGGGACAGGACAGATCATTACATTCCCATCTCTCTTTTATAATAAAAAGGCAGGAGTTTAGGAACAACTGGTTAAAGGAATTGGGGTGGCAGATTCTCAAGACTGCTTCCTGCTTATTTGTGGGTGTCATCTTGGGTGAAGAGCCTGAGAAAGCTGGGTGCTGGTCACATCCTGGAGTAGCTGGTCTGTTTGTTCCTGTCCGGTGTTTGTGGTATGAAAATGTCTGGTGTCTCTTACACCTGTTTAAGGCATTGGCAGAACAGAAGACAAAGTTAAGTTTAAGAAAAATATTTTTAGGACCAGGGAATTGAGGGGGTTGTATATGACCTGTTTAAGGTGGATCCTTTAATTCGGCTCTCTGGAACTCACAAGAATCTTTTGGAGTTTGTGAAAACAGAAATTTTAGACATATACATTGTATAAACAGTAGCATATTTATGTCAGAATGACTGTGACAGATATTTTTGAACAATGAAAAGTATATTTAAGACTATGGAAGGCAGCGTGAGAGAGAAATTTGATAAATTGTATTTGTCCTCACACCTTTATAACTTGCAGGTCTTGTATTTGTATTTTACTGAAATTTGTTTGGTGAGGTTGTCCTTTTAAACTGACAAAAGCTCTCAGCTGTCAAACTGCATCAGAGATCTTTGAGAAGGATAAAATTTTACTTGAGTTATTGATTAAAAAAACAACAGAGAACTTACTTTGTTGTCACCCAGAGCTATTCCTCAAGGTCCTCCATGGTCATTGAGAGTCATATTTGCCTTTTTCTGTATAGCACAGGGCCTGCCAGGCTCCAGAAGATCCTGTGGGCTAAGAAATCTGTAGGATGACAAGCCTATCTTGTCTGAGCAGCGAGGCTGTTGAGTCCATAGGTTCTGTCCACTTCTGGAGCTCTTCAGAGACCATGAAGAGACACTGCTGCCTGGCGTACTCCCTGTGGTGTTGCAAGGAGAGAGCTGCTTGTTCGTCGTGGCTGCCCTGCTAGCTTAGCCCCTAAATAACCACACAGAAGCTTTATTAATTAAATGACTGCTTGGCCTATTAGCTCTAACTTCTTATTGGTTAAGTCTTACATATTAGTTTAACCCATTTCTATTAATCTGTATATCACCATGAGGTCATGGCCTACCAGCAAAGTCTCAGCACATCTATCTCCGGCAGCAGGTCCATGGTGATTCTCTGCCTCTGCCTCCCTTTTTCCCAGCATGCCATTTAGTTTCCCCCACCTACCTAAGTTCTGCCCTATCAAGGGCCCAAAGCAGTTTATTTATTAACCAATGAAAGCAACACAAAGACAGAAGGACCTCCTACACCACTGTGGTTTAGTTCTGCCTGCTCTTTTATGGTGCCCAAGACCACCTGTCGAGGGCCATCCACCACCTCCAGTGGACTGGGCCTTCCTACATCAACCATCAATCAAGAAAGTGCCCACGGGCTTGCTGATGAATCATTCTTATGACAACATTTTCTTAATTGAGGTCCCTTTTTTTCAAATGACTTTAGTGTGTGTCAATTTGACAAAATACTAACAAGTGAGTTCAGAAGTTTAGTGTCCAAAAGGAAACACATAGAACACATGCTACTGTGCAAAAAGAATATGTACCAACAACACAGGATGCCTAGGAGAGAGAACCTTCCCCGAGAGGAGAAGCTGTGGGGACTGGGGCTTGTCAGAGAAAGAAAAGGATTCCAGTCAGGTAATGATGGCTGCCAGGAAGAAAGACACTAGGATGGCAAAGGAGACTGGGCACCTAGCTCACGGGGTGGGGAAGGCAAATGGATCTGGCATCCAAAGATCCCTGCTTTCCAGTTAAGGATTCTGCTCATTATCTGTAGGTGGTGGAGACCACAGAAGAGCTTGATGAAGGTGGGCCCCATTACCAAAGGCAAAGACAAAAAGCAGAGGAGTAAGAAGAGAAGGCGCTTGCTTTGGGACAAGGTGAGTGTGATTCCCCAGGAAGCTTCCCTGCTCAGCTGCCTGGGAAGCTGCTGAGTGCAGAGATAAGCCTGAAACTAAAGACACAGGCCCCAGCTAGAGGCTAGCATCAGAGAACCTCCCCATAAAGGCAAGAGTCCCAGGAGAGCACACTGCAATGAAAAGGCCACAGGAAGTCATCTGCCACAGCAGAGGGCCTTCACTTCCAGGTACAACTTAGCCCTAGGGTTTATCCAAGACCAAGAGACGTCACTTACTGTAATCTAGCCTTCCCCTGGGACTTGCTTTTCCCACTATCCAACTGTGGCCCCACGTCTGCGTGGAGCCCAATTAGGCCCTGGAGTTTAGCCAGCTATCCACCAGACCAATTGCCTGGGAAGAGAACTGGCTGGGACTTCCTGCTTCCCTTATCACCTCCCAAATGAGTCTTCTTGCTAGCCTAACACTCTATACGACTCTAGACCTGAGCACCAGTGCCACAAAATTAAGCAAACCAAAGGTGTCTTAGAAACTCTCGACAAACAGGGTGGTAGTGGTGCAGGCCTATAATTCCAGAGGCGGGTGAATCTTGGTGAGTTCGAGGTCAGTCCGGTCTACAGAGTGAATTCCAGGTCAGCCAGGACTGTTACACAGAGAAACCCTGTTTTGAAAGAAGGAAGGAAGGAAGGAAAGAAAGAAAGAAAGAAAGAAAGAAAGAAAGAAAGAAAGAAAGAAAGAAAGAAAGAAAGAAGAAAGAGGGGGAGGAAGGAAGGAAGGAAATTCTCAACAAGCAGGACCCTGTTTCTTTGCTCTAGAAACTCTTAAAAATCGGTATATTTAGAGCCATTGTCCCTAGAGCATGCTGAGTAGACAGGACAAAGTGAACCGTCCTGTTATCATTTATAAAGAGGTGAGGGGGCCGGTCCCACAAGGGTTGGTGCAGATCACCCTGAGGCCTCAACAGGTGCCCTGGCAGGTGGCCTGAGGCCTCACAGAAGACAGACAGATCCACCATGCAGAGAGAGCTGAGGTGTAGAGTCTATTTAGTGAGTTTTGGAGGGGGAAGGGAGAGAGAAGGGGGAAGGGGAGAAGGGGAAGGGAGAGAGGAAGAAGGGCAGACAGGGATAGAGAAGCTGGAGAGGAGGTGGGAGATCCGCTTGCCTCAGTGGAAGTGGGGAGGTTGGGAGTGGGCAGAACTTGTCTCTTAAAGGGACAGGGTACGCAGGTGACAGACCAGACCAGCATATTACAACATGTCCCCCTGTCCCCCTGTCCCCCTGTCCCCACTTTCCTACCTACCTGGCTAACACTAAATTCTCTCCTCCTGTCAGTATTTAGCCATAGAGAAGTGGGTGGGACCATGTTTCCTTGGGTGGGTAAGATTCAGGTATTTACTGGGGTTCCAGCTCACCGCTCCTTACATACTTTTCTATGTTTCCAACCTGTCACCCCATTTTGACAACTTCCATGTTTACCTCCCGGTCAGGTTCCTAAGATGAGTCTGGAGTTCCCGAAAGCCAGGAGGATTTCTATGACTGAGAGGGGGTGGGTCTTCATTGTAGAGGAGGATTGTGTCAACTGCCTGGATGAGCTAACAACTTCTGCACCTCTCACTAGCTGTGACCTCAGCCTTGCCTGGAGTTCTTTATATGGAAACCAAGAGTTTTGAAGCACAGTCCCATAGAGATGTGACGTAAAAATGTGCTCATATACGCAAGTCTTCACTGGAGGCTGGAGAGATGGCTTTTCAGATAAAGGACTCATCCTACAAGCACAAGGAACTGACGTCAGATCCCCGGTGCTCACGTCAAAAGCAGGGTGCGATCAGAAAAATCATCCACCATGACCAAGTAGGCTTCATACCAGAGATGCAACGATAGTCCAACACTGAAAATCTGTCGATGCAATCCACCATAGAAACAAACTGAACAAAAAACCCACATGGATATCTCATTAGATGTTGAAAAAACCTCTGACAAAATACAACACCCCTTCATGATAAAGGTATTGGAGAGAGCAGGGATACAAGGAACACACCTAAACATAATAAAGTCAATATACAGCAAACCAATAGCCAACATCAAATTAAATGGAGAGCAACTCAAAGCAATCCCACTGAAATAAGGAACAAGACAAGGTTGTCCACTCTTTCCACACCTATTTAATATAGTACTTGAGTTTCTAGTTAGAGCAATAAGACAACAAAAGGAGATCAAGGGGATATAAATCAGAAAAGAAGTCAATCTCTCACTATTTGCTGATGATATGATAGTTTACATAAGGGACCCCAAAAATTCTACAAGGAACTCCTATAACTCATAAACACCTTCAGTAATGTAGCAAGATACAAGATTAATTCAAAAAAATCAATAGCCCTCCTTTACAGAGATGGTAAATGGGCTGAGAAAGAAATAGAGAAACATCACTCTTCACAATAGCCACAAATAACATGAAATATCTCGGAGTAACTCTAACCAAACAAGTGGAAGACCTATATGACAAGAACTTTAAATCTTTGAAGAAATAAATTGGAGAAGACACCAAAAAAATGGAAAGGTCTCCCATACTCTTGGGTAGGTAGAATTAACATCATAAAAATCACAGTCCTACTCAAAGCAATCTACAGATTCAATGCAACGTCCAGCAAAATCCCAGAAATATTCTTTACAGACCTCAAAAGAAAAATACTCAACTTCATATAGAAAAGCAAAAAACCCAGGATAGTCAAAACAATTATGTACAATAAAGAAACTTCTAGAGGCATCAAAATCCCTAACTTCTAACTCTACTACCAAGCTACACTCTGAAAACAGCCTTGTATTGACATAAGAACAGACAGGAGGACCAATGGAACCGAATCAAAAACCCAGATATCAATCCACACACCTACAAACACCTGATTTTTGACAAAGAAGCAAAAAATATAAAATGGAAAAAAGAAAGCATATTTAACAAATGGTGCTAGCATAACTGGACATCAACCTGTAGAAGAATGAAAACAGACCCATATCTATCACCATGCACAAAACTCAAGTCCATATGGATCAAAGACCTCAACATAAAGACAGCCACACTGAACCTCATAGAAGAGTAGGTGGGAAGTCCACTTGAATGCATTGGCACAGGAGACCACTTTCTAAATATAACCCCAGCAGCACAGACACTGAGAGAAATAATTAATAAATGGGACCTCCTGAAACTGAGAAGCTTCTGTAAAGCAACGGACACAGTCACCAAGACAAAACGGCAGCCTACAGAATGGGAAAAGATCTTCACCAACTCCACCTCAGACAGAGGGTTTATCTCCAAAATATATGAAGAACTCAAGAAATTGGTCATCAAAAGAGAAAATAATTCAGTAAAAAAAAATGGGGTACAGACTTAAACAGAGAACTCTCAACAGACAAATCTAAAATGGCTGAAAGACACTTAAGGAGAAGCTCAACATCCTCAGCTATTAGAGAAATGCTAATCAAAACAGCTCTGAGATTCCCTCTTAAACCTGTAAGAATGGCCAAGATCAAAAACACTGATGACATCTTATGCTGGAGAGGATGTGGGGTAAAGGGAACAAGCCTGCATTGCTGGTGGGAGTGCAAACTGGTACAGCTGCTTTGGAAATCGTATGGTGATTTCTCAGAAAATTAGGAAACAACCTACCTCAGGACCCAGCAATACCACTTTTAGGTACATGTAAAGGATACTCAATTGTGCCACAAGGACATGGGCTCTGCTATGTTCATAGCAGCATTATTTGTCATAACCAGAACACAAAAACAACCTAAATGCCCCTCAACCGAAGAATGGGTAAGGAAAATGTGATACATTTACACAATGGAGTATTGCACAGAGGAAAAAAAATAATGACATGTTGAAATTTGTGGGCAAATGGATGGATCTGCAAAACATCATATTGAGTGAGGTAACCCAGATCCAGAAAGATAGATATAATATGTACTCACTCATAAGTGTCTTTTAGACATAAAGCAAAGAAAAATCAGCCTACAATTCACAACCCCAGAGAACCTAGACAACAAAGAGGACCCTAAGACATACATTGATCTAATCTACATGGAAAGTAGATAAAGACAAGATCGCCCGAGTTCATTGGGAGTGTGGGGATCATGGGAGAGGTGGGAGGAAGGAGGGGAGCAGGGAAAAATATATAGTTCAATAAAAACAATTTTAAAAAGAAATAAAACAAAAACACTCAAAAATAAATCAAGTTTGAGAAGCAATTCTTTAGTAAAGATTACTTTGATTTCTTCTGCAAGGTTGTGACTTGCCCCAAGTCACAGAGGAAAATTCCTGACACACTTTGTGCAGAATGTCAAGTTCTCCAACTCCGAGGCCAGCTCTCTCTCCAAGTGAACCTGTTGTCACGTTGACTGAGGTGCTTCAGATGATGGCTTTGCTTCTCGGGTGAAGACTTGCTCTTGAAATTCATTTGAGACAGTTTGTATCGCTGGCTGACTGTTAACCTGGTACCTTCAAGACTCTGGCCCTGCGAGACCAGATATAACTAAAAATGACGTAAAATGTCTCATCTACCTGTGAGTGCCAGAAATTGTGTTTCTAGTGTTGATGTAGGGAAGGGTTAAGATTGTCAAACAAAATACAGGATAGAAGATTAAATTTGAGTATCAGGTAAACAACAAGTGCTTAGCATTTAAAGGTGAATGTTGCCTAAGTACTTTATATGCATAAGATATATTAAATATCCACAAAACATACGTATACTAAAAAGAAAACAAACAAAGAAGCAAAAACAAAAAAAACAGGGTATGGTAGCACATAGCTATAATCACAGCGCTGGGGAGGTAAAGACCAGCAGACCCCAGGGGTGCCCTGGTGACCCAGCCTAGCAGAATTGGTGAGCTCCAGGTTCTGAGAGATCCTGACTCAAAAATAATATGGAGAGTGACTGAACACCTGACACTGATTTCTGCCCCCCACCTCCACGCCCCAAGAAGACATACATACACACTTGAGTCACTCTGGTCCTGTCCCTTCACTGCGAGGTTCTGGATGTCTCTTCTTAGACAAGATCCTGGGAAGAGGACTTGCACGTAGTCATACAGCAAGCCAGGGGGAGAAAGCAGACGCTCGCAACTGCTTGTCCACAGCCATTCTGCCGCTTCTCACCTGGCTCCTGCTCAGGAAGTGTCTGGCCCCTGCAGAGAACCCTTCAAGCACAATTTACACTCAGCCCCCCCACTCACCTGGGCCAGCTATTGAAAACATATAGTGTGTGGGAGATGTGTGTGTGTGCATGCGTGTGTGTGCAGGTGTGGGGGGCAGGTGTGTGCGCATGTGCGTGTTTGCATGTGTGTGTGCAGGCATGAATGTGTGGGTGCTCATGTATACACATCAGTCACCATGCACGTGGAGGCCGAGGTTTGTGTTAGAAATCATTGTCCATCACTCTTCCACTTTATTCAATGAGGTAGACTCCCAAGCAAACCCAGAACTCACATACACAGCCCTTGTCACGGGCCAACATGCTCTTGGGATCCTGTCTCTTCTAAAACTAGAGTTACAGGCAGGCTGCCACGCCTTCTTCGAAATCCTAGCTCTGAGTCTGAGGCTCACCCACTGAGCCATCTTCCCAGCCCCACATTGTTTTTTTGAGATAGGGTCTCTCACTTGGACCTGGAGCTTGTCAGGTAGGCTGGACTTGCTGGGCAGTAAACTCCAGTGATCTTCCCGTCTCTACCTCCTCAGGGCTGGGATTGCAAGCATGTACTAACACACCCTGTTTTCACATGTGTGGGCGCTGCGTGTCAAACGCAGGTCCTCCTGCTCACAATAGCAAGTACTTTAAAAAATCGAGCCATCTCCCCAGCCTGCTGATCCAAAAGCATTTTAATATGCACAGCCAAGCCATGCTCCAACTCGGTGGTTCTGAGCCACGTTGTCCCCACTTTGAAAGAAGTCCTTTAAGGCTGCAGATGGCCTGTACTCTTGCCACGTGGCTGGTAGATGCCTGGAAGAGGCTTCAGTTCCCACACAGCATTTTAGGAATTTACAGCATGCCTTCATCCTTTCACCCTGAGAAGGAATGGTAGCCTTCCGGAGAAAAAAAACAAAACAAACAAAAACACCTGTACCCCGAACATCTGCAGGACAACCAACACTGGGATTCTCATTCCACTGGACATTGTTCACTGAAGTAGAAGCCACCAATGGGGTCGTGGGTAACCTTGCTCACAGCCCCTGCTTCTCAGATGTCACCTTCTACAAATGTCCCTAGCAGTGAAGTTACAACCGCTCCAGAAGCCTCCATCTTGCATTCCCTACAAGCAATAGCTGCATTGCCTCTCGTTCATCTGGGGCCATAAAACCCAGTGGGGAGAGACAAAGGCAGTAGTGAGGCCAGTTTGAAGAAAGAACAAATACTTGTGGAGCAGTTTGTGGAGGCGGTTTAAAGAACTATTGTTCGTGTGTGTGTGTGTGTGTGTGTGTGTGTGTGTGTGTGGTGGGTGATGCACAGGTGTGGGTGCAGGTGCCCGTGTGGGCATGGAGGTCAGAGAGGGATGTTTGCTGTCATGCCTTATTGTTCTTTACCTGTTCCCTTGAATCAGGAGTGCTCAGTGTGCCTGGGCTGCAGCCAAGAACCCTCAGAAGTCCTCTTGCCTCCACCAACCAATTCTCTGGGGTTACAGGCACATATGGCCATGCCCAGCTTTTTTACATGGGTGCCGGGCTTTTGAACTCAGGTCCCAAGCTTGCACAGGAAAGTGTCTGTATTTACCTGCTGGACTGTTTCCCCAGCTCAGGACTATCGCTCATTATGTCTATTATCAATGGTTACAACAAAGAATGGGTGTCCTCTGAGAAAGAATGTACAATTCCCCAATAGCTAAGGATATTGAACAGTTCTTAAGTGTCTTTCAATCATTTGAGATTCTTCTGTTGAGAATTCTCTATGTCTGTATCTAATTTTTATTTTTTTTTATTTTTTTTTTTGTTTTTTTTGTTTTTTTTTTTTTTAAAAAAGTTTTAGTACCTATAATTTTTTTTAATATTTATTTATTTATTTTGTATACAATATTCTGTCTGTATGCCTGAAGGCCAGAAGAGGGCGTCAGACCTCTTTACAGATGGTTGTGAGCCACCATGTGGTTGCTGGGAATTGAACTCAGGACCTTTAGAAGAGCAGGCAATGCTCTTAACCACTGAGCCATCTCTCCAGCCCCCTGTATCTAATTTTTAAATTGGATTATTATGTCTAGTTTCTTCAGTTCTTTATACATTTTGAAGATCTGTCCTCTGTCCTATGTGGGGTTGGTAGATATTTTTCTATTCAGTTGGTTTGAACTAGACTGAACCGGTATGAACCGGTCTAAACTGGTTTGAACTGGTCTAAGCCCAGATTGAACTGGTCTGAACCGGTTTGAACTGGTCTAAATCAGATTGAACAGGTCTGAACCAGTCTAAACCGGTTTCAGCCAGTCTGAACCTTTTTGAGCCGGTCTGAATGGCCTGAACCAGTTTGAACTTTGTCTAAGCCAGCCTGGTTCAGTCTGAACCAGTTTGAACTGGTCTAAACCAGTCTGAACTGGTATAAACCAGACAACCAGTTCAAACTGGTCTAAATCAGTCTGAACCGGTCTAAACTGATTTGAACTGGTCTAAACCGGTCCGAACCGGTCTAAGCCAGTTTGAACTGCTCTAAATCGGCTGAACCGATTTGAGCTGGTCTGAACCAGTTTGAACCTGTCTGAACCAGTTTGAACTTGTCTAAACCAGTCTGAGCTGGTCTACACCCATCTGAACTGGTTTAAACCGTCTTGAACCGGTCTGAACAGGTTTGAGCCAGGCTGAAATGGCTTGGACTGGTTTGAGCTTGTCTGAGCTGGTCTAAGCCGGTTTGAACTGGTTTGAACCGGTCTAGACTGGTTTGAACCAGTCTGGACCGGTTGGAACTGGTCTAAGCTGGGTTGAACCGGTCTGAGCCAGACTGAGCCGGTCTAAACTGGTTAGAGCTGGTCTAGGCCAGATTGAACCAGTCTGAGCCTGTTTGAACTGGTCCGAGCTGGTCTGAACCTGTTTGAACTGGACTGAATCGGTGTGAGCCAGTCTGAACCGGTTCTAGCCAGTCTAAACTGGTTTGAACTGGTCTCAGTCGATCTGGTCTGGACTGGTCTGAGCCGGTTTAAGCTGGTCTTAACCCGTTTGAGCTGGTCTGAACCAGTTTAGACTGGTCCAAGCTGGCTTGAACTGGTCTGAGCCAGTTTAAATCAGTTTGAACTTGTCTAAGCCCGTCTAAACCAGTTTGAGCGGGTCTGAACCGGTTTTAGACCGGTTTAGACTGGTCCAAACTGGCTTGAGCTGGTCTGAACCGGTTTAGGCCGGTATGAACTGGTCTAAACTGGTTTGAGCCAGTCAGAGCCAGTTTGAGCAGATCTGAACTGGCTTAAACTGGTCTGAACTGGTTTGAGCCAGTTTGGACCAGTCTAAACCGGTCTCAGCTGGTCTGAATTGGTCTAACCCGGTTTGAGCTTGTCTAAACCGGTTTGAACTGGTCTAAGCCAGATTGAACCAGTCTGAACCGGTTTGAACTGAACTGGACCGGTTTGAGCCAGTCTGAAATGGTTCAAGCCAGTTTTGAGCCACTCTAAGCCGGTCTGAACCAGTTTCAACCGGTCCGAGTTGGTCTGAACTGGTTTGAGCCAGTCTGATCCAGTCTAAACCGTTTTGGACTGGTCTAAGTTGGATTAA